AAGAGGAAGGACTTGACAATGGAGAAAGCAACGAGCATGAGACAACTAAGGAAGATAGGACGGAACGTGGACGAAAATGGAGGAAGAGGACGGCCGGTGGAGGAAGAGGACAGACGTGACGGTGAGGAAGAGGACAGACGTGACGGTTGCTCAAGAGGACGGACATGACGGGGGGGGTTACTGGGTGTAAATATAAAATTAGATCCTATTAACCTCCTCTGCTGCCACTTCCACCAATGTCCTCTCCTCTCTACTTCCTCCTGACTCACCTCTCACCCGGAACTTCCTATTTATACCTGCCATCAATTCCTGTCTGTCCTTGACATCACTTCCTGTTGTTGTGTTCCACTGGCAATACATGAGATCACCGCCTTCTGTTGAATATGAATACTGCGGTCTACGTTACGTTCCATCATGTTTGCCCCTGGGCCCCAGTGGGTCCAATCCTTCGATTCGGGTACATCGATGATTACACTCACAAATTAAACCTCACATCACAATCCAGAAGTTATAACATATTAAATAAAAAGCAACAATTCGATGAGTTTTTTAGTAGTTTTATAATTGTTAAATTAAAGAATGAAAAGAGCACAACTGAAATACAATCTTCATAGGCTCAATTCACAAAGCTTTAATACAAGTGGAAGAATTATTTATGTTTATTTTTTTATGTTTATTAAACATGTATTTAAACCATGTGACGGGATCTTCAAATCTGATTGGGCTCAAATGAAAATAACTCACTTATTAGGTTTCCATGGCCGAAGCACAGTGCGCAGAAGTCACAAACTGTCTGCAGAGTCAATAGCTGAAGACCTCCAAACTTGGTGTGGCCTTCAGATGAGCCCAACAACAGTGTGTAGAGAGCTTCATGGAATGGGTTTCCATGGCCGAGCAGCTGCATCCAAGCCTTCCATCACCAAGTGCAATGCAAAGCGTGGGATGCTGTGGAGTAAAGCACGCCGCCACTGGACTCTAGCGCAGGGGGGACGTGTTCTCTGGAGTGACCAATCACACGCTTCTCTGTCTTGCAATCCGATGGACGTGTTTGGGTTTGACGGTGGCCAGGAGAGAACGGTACTTGAGCCTGACTGCATGGTGCCAAGTGTAAAGTTGGTGGAGGGAGGGATTATGGTGCAGGGTTGTTTTTCCAGAGGGGTGGGCTTGGCAACCTAAGGCAACATTTTGGACAACTTTGTGGGAGGAGTTTGGCAATTGGCCCCTTCTTGTTCCAACATAACTGCCCACCAATGCACAAAGCAAGGTCCATAAAGACATGGAGGAGCAGTTTGGGATGGAGGAACTTGACTGGCCTGCACAGAGTCCTGACCTCAACCCCATAGAACACCTTTTGGGATGAATTAGAGCAGAGACTGAGAGCCATGGCCCCTCCCCCGACATCACTCACTGCCTGACCTGAACAAATGTGCGTCTGAAGAAATGGTCCAACCTGGCCCATAGACACCCTCCTAAACCTTGTGGATGGCCATTCCAGAAGAGTTGAAGCTGTTATAACTGCACAAAGGGGCGGAGCCAAAACTCAATATTGAACCCCTACGGACTAAGACTGGGGGGCCATTAAAGGTCATGTGTGCGGAAAGGGCGGGGCCAACATCAATAATGAACCCTATGGACTAAGACTGGGGGGCCATTGAAGGTTCATGTGCGTGGAAAGGCCGGCAGCCCCAGTACTTTTGGCAAAATAGCGTATCACAATGTCAATGGAGGAAGAGTATGGTCATGAGGATGGAGGAAGAGTATGGACATGAGGATGGAGGAAGAGTATGGACATGACGATGGAGGAAGAGTATGGACAGGACGATGGAGGAAGTCAGTATAGGACAGGACGAAGGAGGAAGAGTATTGGAACATGATGGGAGGGAGAGTAATGGACATGATGATGGAGGGAGAGTGTCAGGAATGGAACTGGCCAGCATGGTGGGTATCACCTGCCTTATGAGCTGGCAGTACCAGTGCTGGCCAGCGGGTGCTCCCAGCAATCAGTAAGACTCAACCTTGCAGCCAGCAAAAACACCTGAAACTGCTTATGCTGGTGTATTTAAGGGATGGCCAGACCTGCAGAACTCTGCCTTGGTGTTGGTATGTGTTTCTCCCTGGGCCCTGTTTCCTGTTCCTGTCCCTGTCTGATTCTCTGCTGACCCTGCTCTGATCCCTGGCTTGTCTGACCATTCTCCTGCTCCTGATCCCTGGCTTGTCTGACCATTCTCCTCTGCTGACCCTCTGTACCACGCTGCCCGCTACCTGCTGAACCTGGCTTGTGACCCTGACCATTCTCTCCGCTTGCTCCCCCTGTACCTACCTGCCCGATTGATATTGACCCGGCCTGCCTGACGACGCTTGCATTGTATGTACTGTTATCTGGAGGGTGGTTGGTTTGGTCTTTGTTTGCACTGTGTTATGTTTTTATGTATTGCAACTGCGTTTATGTTTGTATTGTTTAGTGTTTAATAAATTCCATCGTTTATAACATATCTGAAGTCTGCGTTTCCCTGCGTCAGTCACACACCTCTGGTCATGACCGGCAGAGCCCTGACATTACACCAAGGCCAATCTGACCAAGAAGTGGCTGCACAGGGAAGCCATCTTGGTTTGTTGATGGGATGGATGGATCTGGATGAGGTTGCGTATTTATATCTGCTAGTGTTTGATGACAGGTGAGTATGCTTATCAACTCTGAAAGGAGTATATAACCGGGATGAACAGCTAGAATGTAAACGGCTCGCTCATGATTCTAGTAGATCAGGGCACAGAATTCTCTGAGGTGCAAGCCATTGATTCAGATTTGTGCTGAGTTGGTTTCATCAGTTTGTACCAGTCCGGAAACCCGAATGCAGGGGATGAATTTTTGCCACCATTTAGTGCCAGACCAGGTAGAGTCCCTGGTGTGGTTAATGATTAGAGGATGATGTGGTTACTTTCTGGAGGCGTTATTCCACATGTTCACCACAGACACTAAGAAGATTGTATAACGCAGTGCAGTTCTTTGGTCAGACAGGCTTTGTGTAAGCTCAGCTTTGTTCAACCCATACTGCAGACATGGACAGAGAACTTGTTGCACCAGCCTCAGTCAGCTTACAAAAACCCAGTCCTGCTTCTAATCTATTTCCTCAAAGCTCTACTCCTGTATTCCCAACAGCTCCTCCAGTTACAGCCCAGTATACTTGGCTATCTACCGCATGTCAGTACCCTGTTCCCACTCGCTGCAGCTTTATATCCCTGCCTTTAACCCTGTAAAAAAAGCCCTCTGTAGCAACTGCTCCCTCCTCTGTCCCATCCCTCCAGCTTCTTCTCTGTCTCCAGCTTGCTCCATTCGTTTGCAGACCTGCGTTTTACTTGCAGTGCTCCAGTAGTTAAAACCAGAAAAAAGCGAAAATATCTTTCCAACCAATACCATCCTGCCAGTATCCAAAACCGGTGAACCTGCCTTCCGTGGTTCAGCCTGAAGCCTCTACCTCAGCCTGAAAGCCTCTACTCAGCCTGAAGCCTCTACTCAGCCTGAAGCCTCTACTCAGCCTGATGCCTCTTACTCAGCCTGATGCCTCTACTCAGCCTGATGCCACTACTCAGCCTGATGCCTCTACTCAGCCTGATGCCTCTACGACAGCCTGATGCCTTTACATCAGCCGGATGCCTGCTATTCAGCCTGATGCCTCTACCCAGCATGATGAACTGATCCAGTCCTGACGATCCTATTAGGCCTGGTGACCCGATGCCCGCTGTTGAGCCAGACAATCCGGTACCTGATGATCCCGGTGCCCGCTGTCATGCCAGTTGACTCAGAGCCCGCTGTCGTGCCTGGTGACTCGGTGCCCACTGCCTTGCCAGATGTACGACGCGTGCCCGCTGGTGAGCTGAATGACCTGATGCCATGGTGACCCAGTGCCCGCTGTCATACCTGGTGACCCGATGCCCGCTGTCGAAGTGCCAGACGATCCAAATGCCTGTGACCCGGTGCCCGCTGTTCCGCTAGTTGACTCGATGCCCGCTGTGTCCGCCAGACGACTCGGTGTCCGCAGTCTTGCCAGACGACTCGGTGTCCGCAGTCTTGCCAGAACGACTCGGTGCCCGCAGGCTTGCCAGACGACAGTCGGTGCCCGCAGTTCATGCCAGACGACTCGGTGCCCGCAGTCTTGCCAGTTGACTCGATGCCCGCTGTTCCGCCAGTTGACTCGATGCCCGCTGTTCCGCCATTGACTCGATGCCCGCAGTCTTGCCAGACAACTCGGTGCCCGCAGTCTTGCCAGACGACTCGGTGCCCGCTGTTCCGCCAGTTGACGTCGATGCCCACTGTTCCGCCAGACGACTCGATGTCCGCAGTCTTGCCAGACGACTCGGTGCCCGCAGTCTTGCCAGACGACTCGGTGGCCCGCTGTTCCGCCAGTTGACTCGATGCCCCTCTGTATCCGCCAGTTGACTCGGTGCCTCGCCCGTTCCGTCCAGTTGACTCGGTGCCCGCTGTTCCGCCAGTTGACTCGGTGCCCGCTGTTTCCGCCAGTTGATTCGATGCCCGCTGTTCCGCCAGTTGACTCGAGGTGTCCCGCAGCATTCTCTTGCCAGACGATCGGTGCCCGCCTGTTCCGCCAGTTGTCTCGATGCCCCGCTGTTCACGCCAGTTGACTCGGTGCCCGCAGTCTTGCCAGACGACTCGGTGCCCGCTGTTCCGCTAGTTGACTCGATGCCGCTGTTCCGCCAGACGACTCGGTGTCCGCAGTCTTGCCAGACGACTCTGGTGTCCGCAGTCTTGCCAAACGACTCGGTGCCCGCAGTCCCCTTGCCAGACGACTCGGTGCCCGCAGTCTTGCCAGACGACTCGGTGCCCACCAGTCTTGCCAGACGCCTCGGTGCCCCTACCTGTTATCCGCCAGTTGACTCGATGCCCGCTGTTCCGCCAGGTTGGACTCCGGTCCTCGCGTCATTCTTGCCACACGACTCGGTTGCCCGCCAGTCATTGCCAGACGACTCGTGCGGTGCCAAGCTGTTCCGCCAGTTGACTCGATGCCCGCTGTTTCGGTGCCGCCGCAGTCTTGCCCAAGAGACGTACTCGGTGCCCGACCCAGTCCGTGTTCTTGTCTCCAGAGCCGACTCGGTGCCATTACGCTGTTTCCGCCAGTTGGACTGGATGCCCCGTTTGATCCGCCAGTTGACATCGGTGCCCAGCAGTCTTGCCAGACGACTCGGTGCCCGCTGTTCGACGCCAGTTTGACTCGATGCCCGCTGTCCGGCCCAGGTTTGGACCTCGGTGCCGCGCAGTCTTTGCCAGACTGACACGGTGCCCGCAGTCTTGCCAGACGGACTCGAAGCCCGCAGTCTTTGGCCAATACGACTCGGGTGTGCCCGCGAGTCTTGCAGACGACCTCGTTAGCCCGCTGTTCCGCTAGTATGACTCGATGCCCTCTTGTTTCACGCCAGACGCACGACACAGTGTCCGCAGTCTTGCCAGAGCGACTCGGGTGGTCCCTCAGTCTTGCCAGACCTACTCCGAATGCCCGCAGTCATGCGAGCCATGATGACTCCCCCGGGGGTTGCCCGCTGTTCCGAACAGTTGACCTCGATGCCCCCCTCTGTTCGCCAAGAGCGACACGGTGCCAAAACGCAGATCATGCCAGACGATCTCGGTTGCCCGCAGTCATCGCCAGACGACTCGGTGGCCGCGCAGTCCTAGCCCCAAGACTACTTCGGTGCCCTCTGCTTCCGCTAGATTGACTCGATTGCCCGCTGTTACCGCCAAGTACGACTCAAGATTCAGTGTCCGCAAGTATCCTTCGCCAGAACGACCATCGGTGCCCCGTCCGTCTTTGCCAGACTACTACGAACTCGGTGCCCGCAAGTCACTAGCCAGACGACCTCGGTGGCCGCCAGTCTTTGGCGAGACAGACTCGGTGCCGCGCTGGTTTTTCCCGCCAGTACGACTCGTTGCCCCGCAGTCCCTTTGCCAGGACGACACGGTTAAGGGCCCCACGGGTCAGTATACTGAGCCAGACACTACTCGGTGGCAACCTGTTATCCGCCTGGGGGCCTGAGACCCTGTCCGCCCCGCCTGGGGGCCCTAGTGCCCCAACGGCCCCGCCTGGGTGGCCCGATGCCTGCCGCCTCCGCCTGGGGGCCCGAGAGCTACCACGCCGCCTCGCCTGGGGGCCCCTGATGCTCCGTTCGCCATCGCTCTGGGGTCCCGTTGCCCCCGCCTGGCGGGGCCCAAATGCCCCTGACGTCCCCTCTTGGGCCCCCCGTCGCCCGCACTGCACCGCCTAGGGGTGCCCGCAAATGCCCTGTCACCTGCGCTCGCCTGGGGGCCCGGTGCCTGCTGCTCCGCCTGGGGCCCAGGGAGTCCTGCATGCTAATTATGTCCGCCCGGGGGGCCCAGGGCCAACTGCTGTACTTTAGCGTCGCCTGGGGTGGCCCGAGGACCCTGCCTGCTCTCCGCCTAGGGTGCCCGGTGCCTCCTGCTGGCCCAGGTAGCCGCGCTTGCCCTGCTCTCCGCCTGGGGGCCCGCCTGCTGCTGCGTTTTGACCGCCTTGTGGCCCTGTGCCGTTGCTCGACTGCTCCACCGCCCATGGTGGGCTCCGGTGCCCTGCTGCTGGCTTTCCGCACTGTGTTGGCATCTGTGCCTTCTGCTCCGCCTGGTGGCCCTCGGATGCCTGCTGCTTGCTGCTCCTCCCTGGTGGCCCCACTGCCTGCCTGCGTCGCCTGGTTGTTCCGATGTTTGTGGGGCCCCGCTGCCACGGAGAGTCCTTGCCCGATTTGTGACATCTGCCACGGAGTCACAGCCCAATGGTGCCCAACTGGCCTCGGAGTTTCAGCCCGATGTGCCTTCATGCCCGGAGTCCTGCCCGATGTGAATGTGCCTCTTGCTCCGAGTCCTTGCCCGTAGTGTCCTCATCCCCCGTGTGCCGTCTGGTGCCCGATTTGCCGCTGCCTGGAAGTCCCTGCCCGGGTGTGCCGCTGCCCGGAGTCCTGTCCGGTGTGTGCCCGTTTTTGATATCCCGCCAAGTTACCACCCCGTGCGTGGAAAATTTAGCCCAGCTATGACTGAGTTTTGGAGCGTCCTGAGGAGTGCCTGCTCTCCTGAGGGGGGGGTACGAGCGTCAGGAAAGGACCTTGAGCCAGCACTGGTGGGTATCACCTCTTATGAGCTTGCAGTACCAGGGCTGGGCCAGCGGGTGCTCCCAGCAATCATGAGGACTCAACTCTTGCAGCCATCAAAACACCTGAAACTAAGCTTTTTGCTGGGTATTTTTAAAGGGATGGCCCGCCCGCAACTGCCTTGGTGTATGTTTTCTCCGGGCCCCGTTTCCCGTTCCTGTCCCTGTCTGATTCTCTGCTGACCCCGCTCTGATCCCTGGTT